TGCAGATTGCCTGATATAAAGCGATAACTTCCTCTGATACCTGGAAAATATCCAAGTCTAGCGAAAAGGTCAGCTATAATAAACAGTCCAAAGAATGTTTACATAAATGAAAAACCAAAAACATCACTGTTTAAACATGCAACAGGCAGCCAGCACATTTTGTTTGTAGTAGAGTTAAATGTGGGAATAGGAACCGAATGCAGTTACCGTATGTGGGTGAAATGAAAAGCTGTTTCCAATATTGCCTGCAGCAGTGGTGCATGTACAAATGAAGTAAAAGCCCTCATCTAATAATGGTCACTGTCATTTATGCAAACAGTGCTGCTGGTTTGAAGCCATACCTTATCCAGAGTGAGTTCTCTCCCTTGCACTCTCTAATCTTTTTCATCTTCCTCTAGCTGTGAACAGGAAATGCAGTTTATAAATAACTTGCTCAGTTCTCTCTAAGAGCAAAGGAGAGGCCTCGGGGTTAGATGCAGTTATTGAGGACAGTTTGTCCGTGACTGTTTCATCCACGTTGGAACAGACAGAAAAGGAATTAGTAATAGGAATATTCAGTTTAGCAAAAACAAACTTTTGGTCACAAAAATATTGATTTGTTCTTTAAAAATGCAACGGGATCAAACAGCAGCTGGTATGCACAGGGCTGTGGTGCAGGACGGGCTATCTTCCTGGCCAAAACATCGACTAGATGGTCCGTAAGGGAGAGAAAGCTCCTGTGAAATTCTCTGTCTCCTGTCACCTGGATGCTGCCTCTGCCTCCCTTTCCAGGATTTGTGTGACCCATTCCCTCTGCGGCTCCCTGTCACACCTCTCCTGCTCTCTGTGGGTGCTGGTGATGTCGGTGTCCCACTTTCTTTTGCTCAGGGAAATGGAAACAAAATAGAATTAGCACTGTATCATTTGAACACGTTATTCATTACATTCAACGTGAAAAAGGCAGCAGTGACAATACATCTAATGTAGTAGCTAGCACGTACGTACTAGAGGCCACCCGTACATTATAAAGGCCAGCAGGGACATTGAAGTGGGGAGGATAGTAGAACTGACTATCCAGGGTCCCTACTATGCAGGGCTCCCTCAAGAATCCTGGAATTAAAAGTTTGTCTTTATCTGCTATTTAATTTTTTTTATGGTGTTAGCATTGTCAGTACATTAGTTTTGTTGGTAGAATAAATAGTTTGACAGACTATTTCTGTGTCTAAAACAATACTGATTCCTTTGGGAAATGGGTGTGGTAGGTCATTTTCACTATTTTCTGACAAACTATACATTTATTAATTGAGAAAATAATCAACAATGAAAATAAGTTTTAGTTGTAGCGTTGCCAGAAACAAAGAGTATCAGCAGACAGATCTGTGACTGAACTGAAGTGAAAATGTCACGTCTTGCGAAAACTTGGTTGAAATGTGCTGTGGTTTCAGATTGTGCAGACTGAAACTTCAAAAATATCACTTACCTGATGTCTAAGTGTCTGTGATAACCACTAGATAACCATGCATGTGTTAAGTTGTTGATAAAGCTGTTAGAATGGATGTAATAAGTGGGGAAGGGGCTCACTGAGGCTGCATCATGCTAAGGGTCCAGATTTCCAAATCAGTATATGTTTTGTGTCAATAGTGTACAAGTAAGACAGTGTATGTGGTGCCTTTCGGAAAAAGCACTATCATACTGTATATCTTACCTTTAAGATGCATCTGGCAGTGAACTACGACTTCCCTCTGGTTTGTCACTTCATTCTGAGCCAGGCCAGATGTCTTATATATACTATTTTTTACAACCTTTGCATCCATGTAAAAGTTCAGACATCCCAGAACATGACCTTTATTACTTTTCAACTGGTATCCCAACTGCCAGATAATTTAATTAAGAAATGACATAAATAAATACATAAAAGTAAATTATGAAATGAAATTATGGATTTCTTATAGCCATTATGTTAACTATAACATCTAGGATACTGTAATGATTCAGTAGCAGCTTTACAAACTGTGTACAAATAAACCTGTGGAGTAGGAATATGTATTTTCTTTTGAAATGCTATTATTTATCTTGGTGGGGCTACAACCACTGAGGGCTTCTGATAATACGCTGCCACTGTTGTAGTCTAATGTGCACTAAGCTTTGACTCTGATTGTTACTTTACGCAACAATTTAATCAGAAAAGCAAACACACGCTACGTGGCTAGTTAACCTTACTGTCTCTTTTCCCATCAAGCAGAAGAATTCTCTAGAAAACAAAACAAACCCGACCCTGGGGAAAAGAAATATTACATTTTAAACATTTAAAATTCAACGTTCATGCTGAATGTTAAATAATTCCTGTTTTTCAGAAACATAATGATGTTGTAATACTCAGCTTTTCTGTTTGATTATTAAAGGCCCACTGCTTCTGTGGTAGTTACAAAAATGCAAGCATAAAAAGTTTATACTACCTTGGCCTCTTGCTATTGATTGCTCTTTTGTTGTTGAGCTGCCTCCGTCAGCTTGACTGGACCCATGGAGCTGCATCCAGTTCAGCATTTAGACATTGCTGTTATTCACCCTCCTGTATAAAATTATGTCTCACATCAATGACTAAAAATGGCAAGCAAAACCATGCCATGTTATTATTTATGTCTATTTCTCTTCTGTTGTATACTATTTAGATTGTTAAACCCCTGAAGGCAAATTTATGATTTGTGGTTTTGTGCTACATTAATGAAACAGGAAACATGGTTTCTAGTAATTTCAGCAGCCTAAAAAGATTGAATTCAAGTACCGTCTCTGTGAGCGTGCTCACAGACACAGTGGTAAGACTTTTTCTATTATTTCATGTCACAAGGGTTTCATAAAATACCATTGAGATAAGAGGCAAGCAATCCAATGTTCTGGCCTGGATTGGATTTTGTGACGTCTCAGTCACATCTGCCTGTAATCCCATCATGCCTTCTGAGAGAAAATCCCCTTCTTTTCCTCCTCCACACAGCACCAGGTGGAACCTCTGAATAATACGACTGTAGCCAACAAATGACTCTCTGTCTTAAGCCTTCCACATGCAGTAGCGGTTTATATTGAAGGAATAAAAAAATCAATTAGGTAAAATGTTGTCAAAATGTTGTCATATTACAGTTGAGCAGCAGACTAAGTTTTGACTGTACTTCTCTTTCTTTGAAGCGTTTATGCAGTTCACGTTCACTCTGCATACATTTGTCTGTGCATGTTGCAATAGATCTGTGTGAGCCATCTGTTACGATGCTGTAGCTTTGGCGTTCCCACCCTGCCCGCTGTGCTCTGTCAGGGCACACTGCCCCGGGGTTTGGGGACTTTGCTGTATCTAGGACCCTCTCAGTGGGACAAATTTAAAAATGGCTCATTGAATTTGAACGCTTGAGTGGCACTATGAACACTGTCAACATTGACAACATGTCTATATTGTGCTGTGAATTAAGTCAGTGGCTGTACGATGGTACAGATAACCACACTTCCTCCTTGTTCATTTTATTTTAACATCAGCTATAGATTGTTCTTCTCTATTCATTAGAACGGCCATTCAGACATGCAGTGACAAGCAGAGCTGTCTTTAGGGGCAGCACAGTTACCCTTTAGATAAAGCATGGAGGTTTTGTTTTTGGTTATCTAATGAAGTGACTGAGTGAGTAATTCTCACTGACTTTGGGCTGTGCTTTATTTTGCATAACACACACAAGAACTTGAACTGAAAGGAGGAGAGATGGGATTGCATGGCTTATAGTTGAATTTTAAAGGTTAAATGCTGTGGAGACAATGTGCTTCTCATCTCCCGTAACTTAATAATGAATTCAGCCAGGTACCCAAACATTACTTTCTTTAGTTATTTCTCTGAGATTCAAATTTTTATAGCACAATAAAACAAATAAACACAAATAAACTAAATATGAATCTTTGCAAGTGTCCACTATGACATACAGAGGCAGCATGCACTGATCTAATCTATTTGCATAGAGAAACTTTAAAATTAATAAACAGACACCTCACATATACGCTCAGCTGCCACCAATGTGTATCATCATCCTACATACACTAATCTAGGATTGTTAAATGGAGAGTTTGGACTATTGTGTGTCAAATCTTTACAGATTAGGCTGTAAGAGTCTAGTTTGTTCGATAAGTATGTCACTGACATGCTGACTGACTGAAAGAAGGGCAAAGATGGAAACCTTCAGAATTACAGTCACGTCTAGAACCTCTGCGATAGTCCCCTCTAAACCGAAGAAAGCTGCTCTAATCAGTGAATCCCTTCAGAGGCGGCCTGCAATACCAGAGGTTTTATAAAAAGACACTAATTAGATTTTGAGCACTCAAGAGTAATCATGTAATCAGCTCTCTCTTGTTTCAGAAACACATCTTAAGACATTTATGAAAGGACTGAGATAAATCAAGTCACAAGACATGGACACTGCATTTTTCTTATTAATGCCTATTACACTAAAACACAAGACATGAATTATGTTTTTCTCAATGTTACTGTCATATTTAGGGGTCTTAATGTTATGGCTTTTGGCTGCTGCGGAAATGAAATGTTAACCAAGGATGTGAGCAGATTTGCTTCAGCAACCCTCTCCTCTCTAACACAGCAGTAGGTATTCAATGATGGACTGAATCACTTGTAACAGAATCAAGTCCAGAATCAGCTTCATGTTAAACCCAGAACACACTGAATACGGGGATTGGCATCTAGTGAGTTGGTGACCGCACTTGTATTGATGATCGAACCAGATTGAGTTTTTAAATATTTTCATAGCAAATAATCTGGCCGTTTAAAATCTTTATCAGTGCTGTTCTGTGAACCTCTGGTATGAATAATGAACTCCTGTTATGAATTATAGTGTGCTTGTTGTCATTTCACTGCTCTCTTGGGATGTTTGTTCTTTGTTCATTGTCACGTGGAAGCTCAGCAATCTCCTAATAAAACCGCTCCGGAAGCGAAACCATTGATTTTGTGACTGTGCTTTGATCTCCCTTTCTTTTTGTCTCTCCAGTTTGAAAGCTCTGGTTTCGACAGGAGGCAAAAATGTCCAGGCAGCTTGCGACTGGTGAGAACAAAGTTTTCTAGAAATGCTCTCTCATACTTATCAATATACAAGTGGAATGCCAATAGAAAATGTTGTGACGGTAAACCTGACATGTACTGACCTAGCTCAACATTGTATTGACGTGTCACTTTGCTGCTGCAATGGTAGTGCCCTCTGCTGGACATTAGCTGTCCTCACCTCCAAGTCTTCTTGCCTGTGTCTGTCGCTCCAGGCTCTTCTCCCACCTGGATGACCCTTTCCTGGACGACCCTCTACCCAGAGAATATGTGTTATACCTGCGTCCCAGTGGACAGCTGCTCCAGCAGCTGTCACACTTCTGGCAGCAGTCCCGCCTCTCCTGTGGCAAGAATAAGGCACACAACATCTTCCCGCACATCACCCTCTGCCAGTTCTTCATGGTCAGTCTTAGCCATACTCTGTGTGTGTGTGTCTGTGTGTGTGTGTGTGTGTGTGTATCTGTGTGTGTGTGTGTGTTTGTGTGTCAGTCTTGTGTCAGTGCTCATGTAGAGGGAGTCAGGTTATTTCTTTGAATATATGTGGCTCTAACCAAGTCTATGCACCACACATCTTGTTACATGCTGTCTCATCATTCATTAAACATTGGTTCCTCCAGGTTTAGGGTTCTGTTTCTCTAAGAAAAGAAATGTAACTAAATCAGCTTTGCAAACACAGCTACAAATTATCCTACCAGTTTGGCATTTGTTAACCCCCTGTTGTCTCTTTACAACTTTCAAATCCCTGTTGTTTAGTTTCAACTTGTGACTGTAGTTCCTCTTTGTTGATGCAACTTGTCAGTGTTTGGCATTTGCTATCATAATTTCTGAACCTACTTTTTGTTACATCATAAATTATTTTACGGGGTTTGTTTTGTTTTGTTTTTTAGCAACGCTAGCAAATCTAGGGAAGACAATATTTGCTGGTCCACCACTTTTTATCCAGAATGAAATATCTCAACAACTATTGAATGGATTGCCATGATATTTTGTACAGATATTTATGGTTCCCAGAGGATGAATTCTACAAATTTTGATAAACTTTGCCTCTAGCGCCACCAGCAGGCCAAATCCAGTAAAATATCTCTACATCTAGGATTAACACAAAGATTTCAGTTTCATTCAGACAGTCATAGTTCCCAGATGACGAATCCTAATAACTTTGGTGGTGCCTTCATTTTTCATCTAATGCCACTATCCAGTCAAAACATTTATTGTTTGAATATTTGGTTTATCACCAAATACCTGCAAAAATAACATTCCCATCAGCCTCAGCTGTACCTTGTGTTTACTACTAAGTGCAGCCTCTCAGAACCACTAGCATGGTTATAGTCTTGTTTTTTCCACTTCTTCTTTTATGTCCCATGTTGCTTTTGATGCTGTCAATGTGCTGTTTTGTGTACTGTCCCTTTATTAGGTGGACTTAAACAACGTGTTGCCCTCCAATACAACAGGTCTAACACCTTTTATAATGGCTGTAGTTTTTGACAAAATTTTGTAGTCATTCCAATGTATGTTTATTACTGAGGTTGTATTTAGTGGTGGTGTTGTACTGGACTGTATTGTGTTAGAATATATGTTGAATATTCTTCTCCCCACATGTTTAAAAATGGCACAGGCAAAACATTAGTTGAATTAATACCTGTGTCATTGTCAGTCAGAAGTGAACATTATTATTTGTTAAAGATGGAATTTATGGCTGAGCTGTTGTATTGGATTGTGTTAGATTTTACAGGTGGCCACAGAGTGTCTGTACACATGTGCTTGTATATGCATATCTCATATAATGACTGGGTGGCTCAGTACTGCAACACTGATGCTGATCCTGATCCTGTTTTACTGTCTCCGCTGTGCTCAGTGTGCTGATGGGAAGGTGGAGGCTCTGTCCGACGCTCTCCAGACCACTGTGGCGAAGTGGAAGGGTCGCATACCCCTGCCTCTCCCCCTGGAGCTCTACACCTCCACGACCTTTATTGGCCTCTTTGTGGAGGAGCAGGTGGCGGAGGTGCTGAAGAGTTTCGCTGCTGATTTTGCCACTGAAGCAGCAGCTAAAGCAGGTTTGAGTCCCTTTGGTGAAAATCCCATTATACATGAACACTATCTTGTAGACTCGATGTACAGGGTTGAGCAAGAATGATGTAGTTTAAGAGGCTCTGGTTTACAGCTTCATATGTGCGCGGTTTATATGTGTATGTGTAATTGCATTTATAGTAACCATATGTCGGAGATGAGCCGAGCAGTATCACCAGACAATACATTTTTAGTGTTTTGTGTGTCAGCGTGTAAATTTTAGTGGAGAACCATTATGTAGTTAAAATAATGCAAAGTGAACATTACATAATAGTTATGAGTATATGTACAATATATATTAATACATCTGGTGTGCACATTTTCCTCTTTTTCTTTTGTCCAGATGTTCACGTCGAGCCCCATAAGAAACAACTTCATGTCACCTTGGCATACCACTTCCAAGTCAGTCACCTTCCAGTTCTGGAGAAGTTAGCCAAAAATGTGGATGCAGCGTCAGGCTGTGATTGGCTGGCTGTGCTCTTCTCCCGGGATATTCGATTTGCTAACCATGAGGTAGATCTGCTTCCTTTGAAATGAGTACTTCCTCTTAACAAGTATGTTTTCCTCAATGCTAACTCTGGCACTTGTTAGTTCCGTTTGATTATGTTGACATTTAGTGAAAGAAATGTTAAAAATCATAATTACCACTGTCTAACGGTAGTTAACCATCTGCCCCCTGCAGACACTGCAAGTCATGTACCCGTATGTGCCTCAGAATGACGATGAGCTTGAGCTGGTGACAGGAGACTTTATCTTTATGTCTCCGGTGGAGCAGAGCAGCGCCAGCGAGGGCTGGGTGTACGGCACCTCTCTGGGCACGGGGCTGTCCGGCTTGCTGCCCGAGAACTACGTCAACCGTGCCGATGAGTCGGACACCTGGGTTGTCCACGGGTACGGCAGGGAAGCACAATATTCAACACAGACACAAGTACACCATCATGTGTTGCTTGCATTAAAAAAATTCCATGACACATAAGGAGTCGCACTGGGAGGTCCTGGGATTGGATTTGATGAATGAAGTGCATAGCGACAGCACTAACAGCAGTGGCAGATCATTACTGCCTGCCCTTCAAAACCACAAAGTCCCTTTTTGCAACCACTTCACAAAAACATCACTGAGTCTTATCTCAAACTTACAATCCACAAATCCCCTCAGTGTGCATTTTTTTTTTTTTTTTTTTTACAGTTGAGTAAGGTGATGTTTCTTAGCTAAAGAAAAGAAAATGAATCATCATCTTGGCCTGGTTTCTGAGTAGCGCTTCGACTGGGCTCCTTCGCCCACGTTATTACACTCCCTGAACAGGTTATGTTTCACTGTCATGGGGCTTTCTCAGCAGCTGGCACACGACTATAGAATTCCCTTCCTCCCTCCATTCATAATTGTCACTCTGTTGATATTTTCAAGACTCACTTGAAAATACACTCACCAACTTTTAACTGTGCCAGACAAGTTTGTATGTTGTGCGCTGCATACTTTTTTTTAACTTTTTTTATGTTGAGTTCGTATACTTTTCTACTTGTGGATAAACTGTGTAATATTTCCAATGCTATATGAATAAAGTTGAATTGAGTTCTCTGTGTTTGTCTGATCCTCAGGTCTCATTCCGTCCTCAATTGTGCCTCTCCATCTAACTCTGGCAGCACTGTTGGTGGGTTATTGTTGGATGGACAGCTCAACGACAGTCTACTTGACAGTCTTATGGATCCTCCCAGCCTCACCGGCCTCTGTCCTCCTATGCAGGTACAATGATTTGTATTGTGTGACTTTTCCAATTGCATGCAGAAAAAAAAGTTTCCTCAGGCAAAGTGAAAAGAATGTCATGAACTTCTAGCAATAATGTTGCGCATCCCAATAAGACTGTGTTTAATGACAATAATTACAGTGCGGGCATCTAGCAGGCGCTTGAGATTAGTGCTGTGCAACTTGTGTCTAATGCCTCATAATGTGAAATTAATCTTTATTGCAGGTGTCAAGGCCAACTAGTCAGTCGTCCCTCTCTAAGATGAGACTCTTTGTGTGTCGCCATGGGGAGAGGATGGATGTGGTGTTTGGGAAACAGTGGGTCACTCAGTGCTTTGACTCCAAAGGTAAAAATGCAGGGGAGCATGCACATTTTCATTTTCATGTGGCTTGTATCAGACACTTTTGACTTTAGCATTTTGTAAAATTCTCATTTGTGTCTGTGCAGGCCGATACATTCGCTCTAATCTCAACATGCCATCCAGCCTGCCAGCCAGAAGTGGAGGCCACCGGGACTATGATAAAGATTGTCCAATTACTGTGTTTGGCTCCACCCAGGCCCGTCTTGTAGGTCAGTTGCCACAGGTTACTAAAGGATTTAAGTTTTTAAGGATCATTAAATACAGTGGATAATATGTTTACCAAATTACATAACAATTAAAATGCCTGACAATAGAATCGCACTGTGTTTTGGTCCATCTCAGGTGAAGCTCTGTTGGAAAGCCACACAACAATAGACTTTGTTTACTGCTCTCCTTCTCTTCGCTGCGTCCAGACTGCTCAGCAAATTCTGCAGGGTAGGTCCTCATCTTCATCAGTTCTCTAACCACAGTCACAGATGAGTTACACAGCGTCGAATCAGGTTTCTCAGCTGGTATAGTATATGTACATTTAAAATTATTACTGCTGCATGATGATGTCAGACTTTTCTTTATTAGGTTTTGGATCTGAAACCTTCCGTTGGCTCCAGTTTCTCAATAGGATTTGTCTCATTATTTACAGCTTGTCTCAATTTTTACAGCTTTGATAAATTATAACAAAACTTCCTCGGTACCTAGAGACATCATTAGGAAAAAAGAAAAGAAAGAGGTTTAACAGAAGGTCTAACTTCTTTTCCCATCCCTTTATATCTAATTAATGTGTTTTTCTTATTAGAAATATTTTCTTTGTCAAAACCTTATTGCACCAAGTCTTACATTTCACGTGAAGATGTATTTTTAGAAAGAGAGATTTTCCTCACAGCTTCTCTCTGTGTTTCACTCTGTCAGGTCTCCAGCAGGAGGGAAAGACAAAAATCAGAGTGGAGCCAGGATTGTTTGAATGGACCAAGTGGGTTTCAGGCACATGTTTACCGACCTGGATCCCCCCAGCTGATCTGGCTGCTGCTAACCTAAGTGTGGACACAACATACAGGTACACAGCAACACCAACGCCATACGTTTTTTTCTGTGATGCTGCAATTTTACAATAACCTTCTCTACCTATTGTTTTGTCCATAGACCTCATATTCCCATAAGTAAGTTGGCGGTGTCAGAGTCTTATGACACCTACATCAGCAGGAGCTTCCAAGTGACTCAAGAGATCCTGGCAGAGTGCAAGAGTCTGGGTAAAGTGGGACTGGCCTTATGTAGCAAGGGTTTTGAATTAATACCAGTTTTCTTAAGCACAAAATGCTGGCAACATTGATTGGCTATATTGTCTACTTGCTTTTCAGGATGATTACATTTTAAAGCTTCTTTTTAACTGATTTGAAATTGAATCTGTGGTGGCTACTGTACACTGAGCATGCTAGTAAAACTGAAATTAAACAATGGTAGCTACTCTACACAAAGAAAGTGTACCTGACTCCACAGACACGCCCTAAAACCTTGAACTTGAAGAGGGTGACACAATTGTATAAAAATAATTGAGTTTTTGATAAGCACTTTGTTCTCAGCTTGCTGGCCTTCTTAGTCAAATGTTTACTTTGGATGTTGTCCCAGCCTCTATGTAAATGTCTTTAAGAGCCTGAATGCCTCAAGCTGCATATTATCAACTACTGAGTGTCCATAAACATTATAGCAAGCTAATGCTATGTGTGGAATGTGGTTCTATACTTCTTTCACACAGGAAACACAGTCCTGATTGTGGCCCATGCCTCTTCCCTGGAGGCTTGCACTCGCCAGATACAAGGCCTGAGCCCCCAAAACTCCAAGGACTTTGTCCAAGTTGTCCGAAAGGTCAGTCTGCTCCTTTAGTTACAACGCTTTATTTAGTTTTATCTTCTCCTTGTGTTTTTCTTTGATAATATATACAGCTGTCTCTTTTTTGTGCAGATTCCTTACTTGGGTTTTTGTGCTTGTGAAGAAATGGGAGAGACTGGGGTGTGGCAGCTGGTCGACCCACCCATCCTGCCTCTGACACATGGACCCAATCACAGTTTCAACTGGAGGGAAATGCTAATGCAAGACTGAAAGATTTGCTGTTTGGCTTTTGGCTGCCCTGAACTGCTGAAAAGTATTTATTTTTAACCCACACTGCTATAAATCCAGCCCAATTACCAAAAAAAAAAAAAAAAAGAAAAAAAGTCTGGCTTCCGTCAAAGACATCATGCAAAAAAAATGTGCATTCACTGATACAAATGTTTTCAGATGTACTGCTCAGGAAAGAGAAAATACCATTCGTGTAGGGATCACAGCAGAAATGGGCTACAGATTGGGCAGCAGTTTGTTGAATTTCCCTCAACATTCCACTTCTTTTCCCAAAATGTGGAGGTGCTACGAGAAATCAGGATATTTCTTGATGGTTGCTGATGAATCAGGTTTTGTGCCTCGAGAAGGTGTGTCATTAAGCTCTGCCTGTGGTTCCTCCTCAGGTGGGGCAGTGAAGACTTTGTGTTCTGCTGCCTTCTCACACACTGTGACAAGAATTAGATGAGGAGACTTGTACCACAGAAGTATTTTTCCACATGTCAGAAAATATTATTTAACTTGTAGCTATGACCCTCCTGCGAAAAAGCACAAAAGAAATGTTGACAATCAGACATGGGAGAACTGATATTCATTATTTCTAGTGCCGAGGTGGGTAGTTAATTATACATGTTTTATTCCTGTAAATGTCATATCATTAAGTGATTCTTCTAATTTAACGTTCATGTGCCCTCATGAATCCTTTTAAGCTTCCTGTAAGGCCATGGTCCACAGGCATTATGTGGATGCAATGCAGTTTTTGATTACCACCATAGGAGCAACCAAGTCAATATGACAAAAGAAGATTCTTATAATGAAATGGAGGCTGTTGTTGGGTTGTTAATTATGTCCAGGTGTATTGACTAAAACTTTTGCTTGTTTATCATGACCCTGACACTTTGTAAGCCTGATAACCACACTGCTTTTCAAACACTTGTTGCATTTAATTTTTTTGGTTATGTCAGATGATTTACATGCTTACTGCCTATACCAGTTATTTGTTGTATGACTCAGAAAATCTATTGATACTCTCAAAAATGAATAAAGCATAGTCATGGAGTTATGTAGGCACATATCACCCTGTGCCACGTGCTCTGTAAAAACATTACTTCTTCACGCTGGTTAGCAGTTGGTTGCTCTTAATTTTTGATTCTGTTTTACACAAACTGCAGTGAGGCTGTTCTCATTCAAAGAAAATAAGCATGAGTGGATATTGGAATGGACAGATAACAATTAAACAGTTACTCTCTGTCTTGCAGCAGTATTATTTTGCTGTTGATGCTGCCATTTTCCCTTACAGTAAACTGGTTTCTAAGCACAAGTGAGAAAATATACATGCAAATATGTTTTATTGACTAAAACATTTTACTTTACTTAGCCCCATTTGCAATATCTGCCACATGCAGTGCAGAATTGAAAATAATTAGGGACAGGGAGCTTTTTGACTTGACATGGCAGGAAAAGCACAGGTGGAATAAATAACATAAAAGATGGCTCCATTCCATTAAGTGCCCCAGTAAGATATTCCAGTGAGCCAGGAGGCACAGCACCAGGACCTCCACTAATTGGAATGCAGCCATCATTAAGCTTATTAAATACACCTGTGTATCCTGAGACTCTGGTAAGTAAAGAATTAAATTAAAGAATTTAGATGTTTAAGATTAATTTCAGAATAGTGGCTCATTTCTTGGTATCGTGAGTGTTCATTTAAGTCTGACTGTTTTTCTGAGAATTTGGCCTCTTGTCAGACTTCTTTATATAGACATACTCCCTAATGTCTCAACTAGCGCCATGAAGGAAAAGTGGCCGAAAAGGACCGTCTCGCTTGAAGAAGAAGCACTTCTGGATAGTCTGGATACTAAAGTGGAGTCATTGCTACTTAAATAAGTGTTCAATGCGTCACCGGGAAATAGAGAGCGGTTATAAATACTATATGAAGCATTGACTTGTGTGATAAAGTAGCAGACAAGCCTAATAGAGTAATGTAGTAACAGTTACTAGCTAAAAGCTAATCAATGCTAGCTGGCTGTTTTTTTTTCTTCTTCTGCAAACACAGGTGAGACATTTTGTGTTTTTTTTTTTTTTTTTCAATCCTTAGATATGAGAATAAACTGTATATAACTAATGGCTGCAGTGAAAAGCAATATCTAATTGAGCCTCAATCATCAGGTAACGTAAGGTTTACCTTAAAGAAAATTTAGTTCAGTCTTTTATGCACTCTTTACACCAAATACTAGGGGATACAACATCATTTCAAGATAGCAAGTCATGCCTTTAATACTTTTGATACTTTTATTTTGATGTTATTGCATTAGTAGTTGTATATTATCACTTCAATCTATGTAAATCAAATAATAATTATAATAATAATACATTTTATTTATAAACGCCTTTCAGGACACCCAAGGACACTTTACACAGCAAATAAAAACATTCTGAAACATAAACAAGATAGACAATTAATGAATGAAAGAATTAAATACACACACACACACACACACACACACACACACACCCTGACAGAGGATTTGAACCTTGGAACTCACTGTTTGTGGTAAACACAGGTCATGTGATGAGTACAGAACTACATTTAGCACTGCCTTATTTTTGAACTTACAGTTGGTGCACTTTGCAGAATAATAGCTGCATATCACCACACTCCTCTTTATCCAAAAAATAGTAAATGATGAATTTCAAAGGTAATGTCTAGCCATACTTAGATATGTCAATAATACTTTGCCTGAAATGCAACTTAATGTTGACAGTGTAAGCTGTAAAAAATAAAAACCCAGAATCTCTCTTACAGGACTTGGAGTCCTCTAGAAAAAGGTAACTTTATTCTCTGATAGTATAATTTATTAAATTTGCTTATTTGGTAAGCAGGGTCCTTCGATAACAGTCGAATGAAAGCCAACTTATTACCTATATTAGTAACTATATTAGAACGTGTGTCTCAAAATAGTGTGAAAAGAAATAAAAGAGAATTAATTATCACCTACATAAATTGCCAACAGGCTTTTGATATTGAGACCGAGTGCCTTTGATGTTCAAAGATGTCTCACTCCCAAATTGGTACATTCTCACACGCAGACTTAGTGTGAGACAAACACTAGATGGTGGTGTTTGATGGCCAATATCTGTAGCAGATATTCACAGTGCAACCCAACACTTGGACTGTGGGTCAGCAGTTTCTGGTTTTCGTATTTCAATGTGCAGTATGTCCACAAAATTTCTAGAGGTTCTTTATTTTATCAGCTTTTACCAAAACATATTTTATAAAACATTTAGACGCATTCCTCATAAATAGCATAAGTAAAAAAGTTTGCTTGGTGTTTACAGATTATGTTGGTTTATACTTTATCCAGGCATTTACCTGCATGGCTCAGACTGCAGGGGCAGTGAAGTCCAGCATCCCTGCAAGTAGCAGGTAGGCCTTCAGTGACTCACTCGTCTATGTAGTTGAACATTTTGAGGTTCGTTCTTGTCTCTGTTTCCACTGTTCTTGAGGAACAATGAAAGTTAAAGTATGAAAAACACTGAAAATATGACAATTTTCTAGCATAGATTTATATTTACTCTATATTATATACTCTAAGTTAATGAACTTGAGAAATCTCAAATCTCATTTTATTAATTGATTAAATTGATTTGTAATTTTAGTTTCACTGTTCAATCTTTGAATTATGAATACATTTATATTTACAAATTTAATAAAAAATTTTATTACATTTTTTTTCAAAGTATAAAACTTTTTCCTCTGAAAAACTGTTTGTAGTTTCCCTTTTATCCACACTAAAAAATTTAAATATACCTTAATTCATTTTGAAGCTATCCAGCTACTCTGCCATGCTTAAAATTAAACAATCAATCCTCAGACAAGTAATTGGAGGAATCGTTGGCAGGCCATTATTTTCAATGTCATAGGATAGGACAAAAATAATCTTGTCTCCCCTCATGCACTTATTTTCTATCATCTGAGTCGTGGGAATTGAGCTTTGTGTCAGAGATCGACCAGGAGCTGTATTTAGCCCCAGTATTACTACTTAAAACCACAAATGTATGATTTTTTTTCTTAATCTGGCTTGTTAGTTTGTCGGTTTTTACTTTGGTTGCATAGGGAAACTGGTACAGGAAGATGGCCCCCTCAGCCATGCCACTGTTTTGCAGTATGATCTACATTATAACCAATGTCCCTGTGCTCTGGCATTAAACCAAGGCCACTTTGGGGCAGTGGAGCATGCTGTTAAAGTTGATAGTAATACTAAACAGAAACAGATCAACACTAGCATTCATTTGAAGTCATGCTGCTGGATACCTGATGAATTTAAGTCCAATATTAATCTCACTTTTAGCTCTGTTTTAGTCTCCACCAGCTCCTGTGGTTCTTTATTTGCTAGGTGCTCTACTATGCTCACTAGGAAGGTGCTTATTTTGTCTGTCTGCTGTTTGAGCAGGTAATGTACAGTGAGTTCAGTTTTTATGAACAGTTCTGAAAGCAGCTGACTGCTGTGGCAGGACATAAGATTGATGAGAACGGTGACAGTGAATCAAAACAACGATCTCAGAGACCTTAAAATCCTTTGTGGAGCTGAGGGGAACTGCAGAGTCCGGCAGTAATTCTGTGTTGGTTCAGCACTACTAACAACAACTTTTAAATTACACACACTGTAACACTAATTTGAACTATTGCTAACATCAAATATTGTTTAGAGAATGTGTAATTATTCAGTAAAGGGTCATTAAAATGTTCAGCTGTAAATGTTTCACATTGACCAATCAATTAATTGGCTAATTAGTTGGACCCTTTCAAGTTATTAATTAAATAATATTCATCAGTGTTTTACCACTCCATAGATATGGAGCTGCACCTTGTTAATGAGGTTAAATGAATGTGATATGAACATGGCCAATTATGATTGTCAGCATTGTTAGCTCTTTTGAATGTTTCAGAAACTCTGACTTAGACCCATTGTCACCTTCTGAGGAGGGCTGAAACTAGGTTGTGGAACCTTATCCATTGGGTCACAACAATTTTGAGTTGGGATGGCTTCTGTGTTCTGCTGTCCCTTTGTTGAACCTTTGGACAACAAACCTTCAGACACATTACAGAGCAGCTTGACGGTCTGAAAGTATCTTAACTGTTGTGTAAGACTGCTACACTTTCTGTTGGGAATGACATCAACTAGGAGACTCGGGGAACTGAAATCTTTCTTTCCTTTAAGGCCGTGTGGAAAGAGTCAGAGGTGTCACCTTACTCTACATAATGTTAAGGTCAGGTAATGGCAAAACCTAAATGACCCAAGCGGACCATAACGTAGAAGGTATGACCCAGCTGTCATGCAAGGGTTTGAGCTTCAATAGTTCTCAGGATCAGGAGACTGCTGTGAAACGTGAACTTGTTTTGTTTCCTTCAAAGAGATTCAGTCATGTGGCAGTTTATGTGCACTCTCTCCTGAATTTGTGTGAATGCTGCACTTAATGTGGTAAAGTAATGTAAGGTGTAGGAAGTAATGAGGAGACATATATACAACAAGCTTGTAAACAAGCCTGGAACTCTTAATTATGCCATCTCGTTGCGCCCTCTTCTTCTACAATGGCTTAATGGCTCCCAACTCGAGAATCAGCGCCACCAGCTGTCCTCAATGTGCTCAACTCCCAATATTTGCATAATGGCAGTGGATGGAAACACATTAATTTGCATTGTCTTTTGCCAACAAAATTTGATTAAAATCTGCACTACATTTCAATGGGAAACTATGATTGAACTCTGATAGAAAACAGATTAATTCCATAAGGCTTTAAGATCGGAAGACAGTGCATATTTCTAGAGTAAAAAGGCTCTTGAATGTTTAGATCATAAACTTTGCTTGACTGTGGCTATAGATAGAAAAATCAAGGATAGGATAGGATCAAGGCAAAGCCGTTTGCTGACTTTAAAAAATGCAACTGACTTACAGTAAAAATACTGTAGGGGGGGCAGCAGAGTCAAATTAATGGAACAAGGATTAGGCTACATTCATTGAATAATGTAGTAGTTTCTCCTTTGGTCAAAGTTGATTTTGTGAGAAAGTGACCCTACTTAATATCAAATATAAATATATGTAAAAATGGTCAAATGGTTTTACATCGAGGGTTTCTTTGTAATTACACATTTAGCCTTTTCCCTTTAAACGACAGAGCTAGTCATCCTGACCACTAATAGGGTTTGACAGAGCTGTCATGAGTTAATGAGGCTTCTACATGAACTCAA